TCTGAAATGTGGAACCAATGAAGCAACCAAAGACAGCTAATCATCCCGTCATGTCTGTGCAATGATGGAATTGCTGGCAAGCAGCACAATGCCTGACACCCTCATACTTCATGCAACTACTGAGACACAGCTTTGTTTTTTAACATTCTATTTTTTCTTAACTTATAAAGAGAAGAAATCATAGAAGAAAACAGGCAGATCGGTATTGTAGAACTATAGGTGGCTTTGCTAATGCTTTTTTTTTAAAACACAGGCTGGTATGCACCCCTCTAGTTCCATCATCGGTGAGAGGGAGCATGTAGCTTAGCTTTTATACAGGGCTGAGCATGGAAAGCTGGCATTGCATGATGGTAACAGTGCTTTTGTTTTATCAGGTAAAATGGTAGCAGTGCTTTTATTCCTAGTTCAGACCTGCTGGGGAGAGGGGCAGGGCAAGAACAGAAGAAATTGTAACTTGCTGTTGTGTTTCCTGAGAGGGTAGTCATGGTGGCCTGGAGAATGAACTGGACACAACAATCAATCACAGTGCATAACGCATGTTAGAAGACTAAATATGGTTTCTGATTGGCCAATGTAGAAAACACAGGCATGTCTCCACTTCAGTAGGCCTTACAGGGAGAAACAGAGCAAGAAAACTTACATTTTACCTCCCAAAATCGGAGTGACACTGAAGACAACCCCACTGCCACACAAAACACTCCCCTGGAGTCATGTTCTGGCTTATTGTCTCCAATTTTCAGCCTCTTGTTCATTGACCGCAGCTGCAATAGCTTCACTTCCACAATCCCTACAATGCTCACAATGTGCAGCCATTGTTCTCAGCTCCTTCTTCCTAGTCTTGCCTGCATGCACTGCAGTGTGAGGGTGCAGAGGGTCATGTGATGAGAAGATGCAGTCCTAACCATAAGGGTGACCATCCAACTGGGTCTGACTGCATACATTATACAATAGGAAGGAAAAATGAGATGCTAATTGGCGTGTGCTATAGTCTGTATAGAGTATAAATACTAGGCTGCTAAGCATGCATGACAACGTGGGGTCAAACAAAAGGAATGCTTGTGATCCACCCTGTCTGGAGGGGCAGTGTCTGTGTCCAAAGAAATATTCTATAGTAGGGCAAATGTTAATACAGTTGGAATGTTTATTGTAGGTGTCAGGAGAGCCAACACATTTCAAGTATCTGCATCCCCTTCATCAGGGCTATTAACAGATATAATAAATCTTAACTATTCTGAGCTTCCACCACAGTAGACAAGTGCAGTAAACTGAAGCCTCCTTAAGCGATCAAGCCCTCTTGATGGAATACATCAAAAGAAAATAAACTTTATACCACTTCTACAAGGAAATCCTGTGAAACCATCACCCACGGTTAAATGTAAAAAAAAAATATTTCTTTTTTATTGATTAGTTTTACTGTGTGGTGATTTGACATTATTTCTTTGTAGAAGCATTACATTGTTTCTGCTTTCTATTGTTTTATTAGACACATTTAGTTTTATTTAAGATATAAATTTTGCAATTCAGAAAAAATGCATATAAAAATGTGTATTTATAACCAAATGTATATACACAAATACACTTCACACATACATGATTCAATTGTTGTTTTTTACAGTGTATATTTGTGTGTTTGGATCTGTCCCTCTCTCATGCCATTCTTCCTCAGAATATATAGGATGTTATTGTGAATGATCCTCGCAGACTCTTGTGAGTGGCAGGCCTGGCATTGAACTTGCTGTGACTCAGGTTAATATGAGGGAGGTGAAATGGCTCAGCGGGCAGGATAATACGGCTGTGAAGGCAACACCGCTCTCCGCTAGTTTTTCCTGTGGCCAGATGCCAGGGAGGCTCCCACGTTTTTGGCATGTCACAGTAGAGTGTTTTTTAGGATGCACCACTCCGGATTTGGCACACAAATATTCCTAGAGGTGAATCTGCACGTGTCATGTTCTCGCTAGAAATAAATCATTTAGCACTGGGCAATACAGAGGGCTGAATCAAATCCTCTTATTACTTCATAAGAACATGTTTTGTTTTATTTTTTTACAATAAAATGTAGATTGCCAAACCCTAGATGTGGTGGCTGTATTTTTTCTTTTTAAGGATTTTTTCTCTTTATTTCGCTTGGTGACCCTGCCAGTAACATACTTTCTGTCCTAGGGTGACAAATCTGACTCGCTGTACTGTATCCATAGAGAAACATTGTTGTCACCCTAGGACAGGATTACAGAACACCTCTCTCTCTCTCCTCATCTCTATAACACAAGGGAGGTGTTCTGTAGTCCACCGATATACATGGGAGCAATGTAACCAATGAGTGCTGCACAGGAAGTCATTTCTGGCAAGATCGCTAGGTGTTTTTATACTTATCGAATAGAACTAACTAAACTGTTTTAAATATTTAGTTAACAGACCAAAAGGGAACAAATGGGATAAGTTTGTTGATAGCATTTACAGATGCAAGAAGGTTTGTTACATGTTGTATATCAGCTGAATAAAGGCTGTGCTGCACCATACATATATACCCAGTAGTGAACTAATGTAGAACTTAGGAACCATTTGTGCTAATGTTCATGCCAAATCCATATGACTCGGCTGGTTATGCAGTCATTAAAAAATGGCAACTATATATTCTGATACTGCCAGTAAAACATGTTTTAGATGCTAGGGGCTGAGGTGGGGGGTGTAAGGAGCTCAGTGGAGAGCACAGGGTGGTTGTCACTAGTATGATGGTGCTCTTCCATAGTCTGATGAACTGACATGGGGTATAGGGATGGGGAGCCACAATGGTGAATGGTTATGCCATCATCCTAGCTGTGCTACTTGGCAGAAGAATGTGAAGACTGGCTGAACAGAGTTGAAAATGTTTTTTTTTTGTGGGGGAAAATAGTTAACAAATATGTATTTCAAGTGTGCAATTTATTTCGGGGTGAATGGATAGCAGTGGGGTAAGAGGTGATAGGGGAGGCAGTTGAGGTGGCAGTACAAAATATTAATGGCCGTTCCAGGGGGGAAGAGCAGAGATCTTCATTATAAGCAGGTCCTAATCCTGGGGGCATTCAAGACATATCCAACAGCCGCAAACAGTTAAATTACTTTCTCTGGATGTTGGGACATATTATGCCGGTATGAAGGGGGGGGGGGGGGGGGGGGGGAGATTACATGCAGAGTTGGTCTAGGTCAGGGGTGGGCAAACGTTTTGACTTGAGGGCCGCAATGGGTTCATATATTGGACCCGGGGGCCGGACTAGCTGCTGGCCGGCCCAGCCACTACCATGCCATCCATAGTAAGTATAGTAATATTCCCCCATAGTAAGCATAGTAATTAATCCCCCATAGTAATTCATCCCCCATAGTAATTCATCCCCCATAGTAATTTCATAGTAATTCATCCCCCATAGTAATTCATCCCCCATATAGTAATTCATCCCCCATAGTAATTCATCCCCCATAGTAATTCATCTCCCATATAGTAATTCATCCCCCATATAGTAATTCATCCCCCATATAGTAATTCATCCCCCATAGTAATTCAACCCCCATATAGTTAATCATCCCCCATATATAATTCATCCCCCATAGTAATTCATCCCCCATAGTAATTCATCCCCCATATAGTAATTCATCCCCTGTAGTAATTCATCCCCCATAGTAATTCATCCCCCATAGTAATTCATCCCCCCTATAGTAATTCATTCCCCATATTGTGTCAATTCACTTACCTTTGCTACGCGCGTTCCTCTCGCCGTGTTGCCGCGCCGTTCCGGTCTTCAGGGCGGACTGTGAGAGGAGAGGAGTTTGTCACGCTGCCCCGCCTACATCCTGACAGCCAATGTTTGCCACGCTCCGCGGGCCGGATTAAAAGGTCCGCCGGGCCGTAGTTTGCCCATTGCTAGTCTAGGTAAAGGGGAAGAGAGGTTATGTTGTACAGCTGAGTGCAGAGAAGAGGGTTGGGTGCAGAGAAGGGGTTATAGGAGGAATATGGTGCAGAGGAAAGCCTGGATGAGGGCTATGTGCAGAAAAGGGCTTATAAAAGGTGGGAGGGGGGTGAGGGGTTTTAGGGGTTGGACGCTTGGTGCAGAGAAGGGGGTTATAGGAGTTGAGCAGAGTGGTGCATAATTAGGTGTTTTAGGGGGTTTAGGTGCAGAGGAGGAATGTTTGGAATTGAGGAAAGTAAACAGGAGGGGTTGAGGAGGTTAGGTACTGTACAGAGAAGGGGGTTATTAGAGTTGGAGGGGTTAGATGTGATGTGGAGGAGGTTTTTTGGAGTTGAGGAGAATGGTGCAAATTTTTTTTTTTATGTGGGGGGTAGTTGATGAAGGGGGGTTGATTGAGTTGGGGGGTTAGATGCTGAGAAGGGGTGATGAAAAGACATTGAGGAAGTTGGTTGGAGGGGGTATCAGATGCGTAGGATGGGTTACAGGAGTTGAGCAGAGTGGTACGGGGGAAGGGTTCTTGAAATTGGGGGTTAGGTGTGGAGGAGGGTTATTGGGGTTAAGAATGGTGTAGAGAAGGGGTTTGGGGGGCTAGTTGATGAAGGAAGTTTATCTGAATTTGGAGTGCTGAAGAAGAGTTGAAGGAGTCAGTGGTTAGGTGCTGAGAAGGCGTTGATGAAGCTGGGGGAATTAGATGCATAGGAGGGGTTACTGGAGTTGAACAGAGTGGTGTGGGGGAAGAGTTCTTGAAATTGGAGGTAACGAAGGGTTATTGGTATTGAGGAGAATGACATAGAGAAGTGATTTTGGGGGGGTTAGCTGTTGAAGGGGGGTTGATTGATTTTGGGGAGTAGGTGCTGAAGAGGGGTTGATGGAGTTGGGGGTTAGGTTGTGAGAAGGCGTTGATGAATTTTGGGGGATTAGATGCAGATGAAGGATTATATGAGTTTAGCAGAGTGGTTTGGGGGAAGGGTTATTGAAACTGGGGGTAGATGTAGAGGAGGGGGTTAGTATATAATATATTGATGTGTGGAGACTCTGTGGTAATTATGCTGTTCCCCACAGATATGGAGTGCGCTGATGTGCCTCTGCTGACCCCCAGCAGTAAGGAGATGATGTCACAGGCTCTCCGCGCCACCTTCAGCGGCTTCACGAAGGAACAGCAACGTCTGGGCATCCCCTTTGGTGAGATTTCAGAGACTGATTCTTAATATCCTCTTGTTTAGATGAAGTAAAATGCCTGTTTGAAAAGCCTCTGTTGAGCTCCTTTTATTCTCTAACTCTCAAGTTGCATACTAGTTCCAAGTCAAAGACTGTACTTTCAGTAAAGCTGAATCCGCTCAGCATCACTATCTAGAGTTAGTATGCAGTTCATGAGTTGATAATAAAGGTTTCTATCTGTGGGTTCTCACACAGGCACCCTGCATTGTGGCTGTTACTGCCAGTAATCTTCTAAAAGACCATTGGCTTTGTTGGCTACTGGCTTTCATATCAGTACTGTGGTCTTGCATTCTGCATCCTAAATAGCTTTTGCAACTTCTTTCTGGCAGATCCGCGGGAGTGGACGGACGCTCATGTCAGGGAATGGGTGTCTTGGGCAGTCATTGAGTTCACGCTAAAGGGAGTGGAGCTACAGAAGTTCTGTATGAGTGGAGCAGCGCTGTGTGCTCTTGGGAAGGACCGATTCTTGGACCTCGCACCAGACTTTGTCGGAGACATCCTGTGGGAGCACTTAGACATCTTGCAAAAAGGTGATACAGCATCTTCTCTTCATTAGGGCAGCTCTGATCAGATGTCATACACTCATAGATGGTGTCTTTGGCAATATGTAGTCTAGTAACTAAAAGCCTCAGCACACTAAAGAGCCAAGCTTGTCTCATTTCTAAGTTGAACTTGAATTTTTCCAAAAGTTAGTATGTAATTATCACCAGAAGGAGTAAGAATATCAGGTGTTTGTATTGATGGGAATTAACATAGCTTAGAAATCTGCTCCTAGCTACACTATATGGCCAAATGTCTGTTGATATCTGACCACCAATATGATCCTCTTGGATATTAGTCTCCAAACTGCGGACCGTGGGCCAAATGTGGCCCATTGCTTGCCTTAGTCTAGCCCTTGGGGCACCATTCCTCCCCCACTAACACCAACAAGGAGGCACCATTTCTCCCACTGTCACCAACAAGGAGACACCATTCCTCCCACTGACACCAACAAGGAGGCACCATTCCTCCCACTGACACCAACAAGGAGACAACACCATTCCTCCCACTGACACCAACAAGGAGGCACCATTCCTCCCACTGACACCAACAAGGAGGCACCATTCCTCCCACTGACACCAACAAGGAGGCACCATTCCTCCCACTGACACCAACAAGGAGGCACCATTCTTCCCACTGACACCAACAGTAGAGACCATTCCTCTCACTGACACTAACAATAGGACATTTTTTCTTTCCACTGCCACCAATGATGGGGCATTTTTCCCCCACTGACACCAGCAAAGGGACATATTTTCTCCTACTGATATAAACAGTTGGGTACTAATCATCCAATACTAATGATAGGGCACTATTCCTCCAACTAATACCATTGATGGAGCACTATTCCTCCCAATAATGCCAATGATGGGGCACTATTTATTCAACTAATATCAATGACGGGGTACTATTCCTCCCAATAATTGATGGGGCACTATTCCTCCCAATAATGGGGCACTATTCCTCCCAATGATACCAATGATGGGGCACTATTCCTCCCAATGATACCAATGATGGGGCACTATTCCTTCTTTCACAGACTACAGACAATATGGGGTTGATTTACTGAAACTGGAGAGTGCAAAATCTGGTGCAGTTCTGCATATAAACCAATCCGATCCAGATTTTTTTGTCAAAGATTAAAAAAACAACTCAGATGTTAGAAGCTGATTGGCTATCATACACAGCTGCACCAGATTTTTCACTCTTCCTTAGTTTGGATTAATCAACTCATATGTATTTTTTTACTCCCACTGATACTGGAGCATTTTTTACTCCCACTGGCCATTCCAGCGCCCCTAAAGTCTAAAGGGCAGTAAACTGGCCCTTTATTTTGAAATTTTGGAGACCCCTGCTCTTGGACATCCCATTCCAGAATCATGGACATTAGAATGGAATTGCCTCCCACACCCCGTCTATAACAGCTTTCACTCTAAAGGCCTTGCACAAAATATTGAAGTGTGTCTGTGCGAGAAGACCTGACTCACAATAGGCAGTCCAATTCATTCCAAAGGTGTTCAGTAGAATTGGGGTTAGGGCTCTGTTCAGGACAAAACTGTTCAAACCATGTCTTTATGGAGCTGCCTTTGTACACAGGGGCACAGTTATACTGGAACATGAAATGGTCTTCCCCAAACTGTTACCACAAGGCTGGGAGCTCAAAATAGTCTAAAATGCTAATTGTCTAAATGTATGTTTTCGTATTAACAGCATCTTTTACTGGAAACTCCTGTACTGCATCAATGGGAGAGGGATCAATATACTTTCACCTATATAGTATGTATGAGGTTGCATTGATCAATTTACTTTCAATCCTTCCTCTTAGCAATGATTTATGAGTTTATTAAACCATGTAGGGGAGTGGTCGTTAATTTAAAAGTTATTGGTGGGCTTATATGTGGCCCTTGATAAATCCAAAGGGCTGCATATAATATGTACAGGACACAGAATATAGGGCTGAACTTGAAAATTCAGTGGCAGTTTTATCAGGAGTTCTGTTTTATCTGCAGTAAGTAAAACACAGTTTCAGCCATATAAACGGGGGCTACTAACCCCACAGAGTATGGCGGTGTAGTGAGCCGCAGTGATGTGCAGTAACCCACAGCCACCAATCAGAATTCACTTCTTGCTGAAAGGGAATTTGATTGGCTGCTATGTGTTTGCGTTACCTTACTTTGCAAGCATGTCTTTGTTTTAGTTACTTTGCCACATCGAGCTGCCTCTGGGTCCATACATGAGCCTTCCACAACCAAGAAACCAGGAAAGTGAACCTGTCTATCTGCCTTGGAACGGTTTACTTGTGAACATTTGTTTCTTGGCAGCAGATTTTCGGTTTATCAGACTCCCACATAGTACTCAATAAAATGCTGAACATTTATGTAAATGACAGGGAGCCAGGCATTGGTCCAGGGTCTTGCACTGGGAAAATTGGGTAATCAGAAAAGGTCAATCTACCACAAACAAGCGCAGTTGCCTGGCGTTGACACAATTGTGCTTCTGAGTGAATTTTATTGCAGTGAATTCCTTCTGAAAACAGACCGTATTCACACTCCCAGCAAAAACAAAATCAACATATTATAGTTGACTCTCCACCTCATTGGCTGGATCTTCTTATTCAAGTTGCATTTTAAATAACCCCAAGTCTCAAAAAGAAGTGATCCTGCACTGTGCTGCAGCAAATTCTTGTGAGATTTGGGCTACTCCACATTCCCAGGTATCTTGTTGGCTGGAGGATGATGTCACCCCTTGCACTACAGAAGGCCAGGAAAGGTAAGTACATTATCTATTTTTGCCCACACAGGTTTATGCAGCATTTTAGGAGTTGGGAAGGGGGCACTATGGATAAGCGGATCTTGCCACTGCGGTTCAAGGTCTGCATTAACATGGATAAAGACAAGCTGCCTGCCCCCGCCCAACCAAGAGATACTGAGAGACTGTCCCATCATTATGAAGGCCTCTCATCGAACTACATGCATTTCCAGCAGACAAAAGGTAAAACCGAAGCTACCAATCCTTATATCACAGCAAAAACTTCTGAACTCCCAGATAATCCTTCCAGTATAATTACACTGTGCAGTATCATGTCTGCCATTTTTAGGAATGTGTGACCTCTCTGTATTCTTGTCATATGACAGTGATGCAGGCAGTGGGTACATGGTACTGGAGAGAACTTTCTATGTTAGTTCTGCCATAAATCACATCCTGCTTTATTAAAATTGCCATTTATATCTGCAGAGATAAAAAGTGATGTCTGGGTCCTTGTCTAATGTTTTTTTTTTCTTGTAATTTTTCTGTTAGACTCCAAATTGTACCAGACAAGTGAGCTGACCCCTGCCTATCCTGAGCCCAGATACACCACCGACTACTTTATCAGTGAGTATTTCCAGAACCCTCTGACTTGGGTAAAATAGCATGACTATGCCTTGTACACACGGGCTTTAGCTTGTATAAGATAAGGGTGTACAGAATGCCTGTGCTAAGCATTTGTAGAGCATTTGACAAGCTTCAATCAACTTTGCTGAAGTGTTTAAACACTCTTTGGGTCCAGTTAGGGGATGTTAAAGTGTACAATAACTGTCCACAAAGTGCATAATTTCACTAAACCAATTTTTTTTTTGCCTCTTATCTTGAGGCCATGTTCCCCTAGATCTCATTGTCTGATACAGGGGCAGAGATTAGTTTCAGCATGTGAAGAAGCGGAGTGTCTGAATCTTATATGAAAGAACACATCCTTGGCATTCTATAAGATGTGCATGTTCCTACCTGCTGACAGATAATATCTGCAGCATCCAGCAGGGAGAGACATGTATGTCTAAAGGGATACCAGCGATGTGCTTTCTTCATTTAAAGCTTGGGCTCAGAGCTTTGCATCCACCAAGGGGAAAACTAGATCATGCGCAGTGAGGGTGTCAATGCTAAAGATGGAGGATCAACTGGATTGCCACTGCAAATAAGGAAGTAGAGGGAAATACCAGGATCAACAAGGTATTTAGTATCTGAGAATATTGTAATGAAAGAAATTGAGAACACAGAAAGAGAAATTCATTTTAGCGCTAACAACCTTCTGGTTTACTCCTTGTTCACATGTGCGGCAGGCACGTTCCAATGCTTTACAGAGGTGTTTCAAAGGCGGTGAGGAGGTGAGATGTCACCTCTTTACCACCTGAGTTATACTTCTAATTGATGTACTACCATGGTGCAATTGTGTGCATTGCCCACAGTGGAGATGCTTTTCTGGTGTGGCCCAATAGAACTGCATTACTCGTGTTCAGCAGCAGCACTGACCAAAGTGGCATGCTGTTTAACTTTTGTTGTGGCATGTGTACAGCCTTGAGTGGTCAAAGAGCTGAACTTTAACTACTTGATATTGGAACTAAAGTTTTCTTTAAAGGCTTTAATAAAAGCTGCTGAAACTAGTCAAAAGCTTTAGAAAGGTTTGCTGTGCACACTGCTCTTAGAGTGCCCTACAGGACAATATATAAGAGCATTCTGTGGTGGCCATTTCATCATAGAGTAAGGCAGTGTTACTCAACCTTTTTACAGTCAAGGCACCCATTAACCTTCTGCACAATCCCAAGGCACCCATTCTAAAATGTAAAAAAAAAACCCTATTCTAATAGTTTAACATAACGCAGCAACATCCACACTTGTAGCACACTCAATGTTAGAGGTGATTTATTCTTCCAAAGCAAATATACCTTTGCACACTGGTACTGACAGTATTTCAGTGTTTCTCTCCCTCACTCAGCTAATGTGACCCCATTCTAATGGAGAGGAGCAGGGTAGGGGCAAACAAGGATGCTGTGCAGGCACTCAACATCCTCCTTATCAACTGATGATGTCATTGGTTGTTAGGAAGCTGGCAGCTAGAAGGTTGTAAAAGTGCACAATGAAAGCCTGTGGCTTTGTGTACTAAAAGGCAGGCTTGATCCACCTACTGGCTGGCTGCCCAACGTGTAGGCATTTTGCCAAGGCACCCTTGAAGAAGCCTGAAGCACCCCTGGTTAAAAAAGGCTGATGTAAGGTACTTTTTTCACAGAATGATCATTTTGAAAGCAATTAGACCCCCAAATCTGAACAATATATGTATACTGGGAAGGACACCCAGGTCCTGAAAGCTTCAGTCCACTGCCATCTCTATTACATTATCTGTATCCTTAAAAAATATGTAAAAAATGTTGCCAGAACCTTTACTTTAGATTTCTGTTCCTTGGTTCATATAAAAATATATTTAAAAATAAATTCAACAACTTGTATGTAAAACTGTTATCAGAATTAAACCAGAAGGATTGTTGCATCCCTTTCTCTACATCACTTAATACAGTTATATAGTATATGAGTATCTATCTTATTAAAGTGGAACTTCATTCTCTCAACCAACATTGACTGTTTTTAATCCTTGTGCCGCTAGCATTACCACATAGACAAGAAAGTATATATTCACTTGTGTTAAACTTTTTTTTTTTTTTACATTTCTTCAGTTTCTTCCTGGTTTCTTTGCCTAGGAAAATGATGTCATACATCCCAGGAGTCTTCAGGAGGGGAGGGAGGGTTCTTAGCTAAGCCAATGCCTGAGCTATGGGCAGATGGATTCCAGGAAGTAAATACTACATGAATCATCAATCACCTTATTCAAGATGGCCACTGCCAGAAATGCCAGGGGTTGTTTTTCAAAATGATTTCTAAGCAAAATAAAGCATGGATACATGGATGGATGGGGGAGATTGCTTTGAATATTAACAATTAATTAAATAGCATTTTTGGTTTGTGGTGCTCAGGTGCTGTGCAGTTAAAATTTATTTACAGTTACTGTTTCTGACTTGATGCTAGTTCAATTAAGAAGAACAAATGATATTCTATACTGCATTTTGTTTTATAATGGATACTATGTCTGCTTCTTTCTTTCTTATGAAAGAGACTAAATTCATAAATAAAAAATGTATTTAAAAAATGGTGCCAGGTGAGGGAAGCTGAATTTGTGCCAGGGTTTGAGTAAAGCAGAAGTAAACATTGGCAGTGAGCTTTTGCCATAATCTGCAGGTATTCACAGTTTACTTGCAGACTATGGCACACAGCTACCTGTTACTGTTGTTTCTCCTACCACTGCCATCTCCCCTGGCAGTGGATGATGTAGCTCTTGCACATGCGCCCGCAAGTTCCATAGTTTTCAGAAACTGGCACTTCTTATAGATGCCGAAAAATGATCCTAGTGTGTACCCTGCATGCCATGTGCACCACACCGTGTATACAGAACATATAAACATGCTACCAGAAAGAGGAAGAAGTCTTTTGACAGAATAGACTTTGCATGTCTTTTTTTTGCAAACAATCCTTCCCACCTAGCAATTCTCTTTATTTTTAGAGTTGAATTTCTCCCCAGGAGAACCATGCTTACCTATACACAAGCCCTTCAGTGTTTGAAGCGCAGGAAACTCGACCTGAGAAATGCCATGCACCCATCACTGGAGTGCATCTAGACCAGAAGTTGCTGCAATAGATCAGCAACACTGACATTCAACAATGAGGGGAAAAAGGTTAAAATCATAATTTTATCTTTAAAACAAGTAATTGCACAAATTTCAGAGAGCAATCAAAATGTAATCCAGTTAAGGTCAACATTTGTTTAAATTTTTATGTCAAAAGCCATGTCTTGTATCATCTCGGTAACATCAGTCTTGTCCTCGGTTGCAGGTTACGGAAGTGAACATGCACAGTGCGTTCCCCCCTCGGAGTTCTCAGAGCCCAGCTTTATCACAGAATCCTACCAGACTCTCCACCCCATCAGCTCAGAGGAACTCTTGTCTTTGAAATATGAGACAGACTACCCCACCCCCATCCTGAGAGACCCCCTACAGCCTGACTCTCTCCAGGGAGACTACTTCACTATCAAGCAGGAGGTGGTGTCACCGGACAACATGTGTGTGGGCAGGATCAGCCGAGGTAAGGGGGATCCACAGACTGTATCCTGAGTTCTGATAGCCACAGCCTGACCCAAGTTGGACAGACATACAACTTGCCACACTGGGGCCCCATTCAAGTATTTTTATTTATTAGAAATTGGCTTCTCTAACTCATTTTTAGGAGTTTTACCGTTTGGCACAATTTTTCAAAATTCAATGTATTGCCATGCTAATCCTGTTTGCTTGGAGCTGGCAGGCAGTTCAGAATCTTCTGAAGATTCTAATGTAAATTTTTTTAATATTTAAAATTCTGTGTGTCTGTTAGCAAAGTAGAAAAACCTATTCATTGATGGCAACCAGTTCAATGCAACTGGCTCTGGTAAAATAACAAATAGGGAGAATGTGACTGGCTGCCCAGTTCAGCTAAACAACAGATATGACAGATGACATGCAATGGGCCTGGCTAGTCATGTGGGAAACAGCAAAGTAACTGACAACGTTCATTCCACCTTTCACCAAGTTTAGTTTAAATGTTGTCATGTCCATGTTAAACTGGGTAATATCTGACATACAACTCCTCTGATATTAAATATTTACGGAGCATGTCCACTATGACAGAGATGACCCTTAAAGTGTTACTAAACCCCGGACTCTGCATTCACTAGATCTGATCTCCCACAGGACACAGAACATGGAAATGCAATTATTTTAGTAAATATAAATTGCTACCGTAAATACCTTTTTTCATCAGTGGTTAGAGCAGTCTTGTGACTTCTATCAGTGTTCAACAGAGCACTGGTTATAGCTTGTAGGAGGAGTTTTCTCTAGGAGGGTGCAGAACCCCTGACCTCTGTTTGAACAGTGCTGATTGGCCCTGTGCTGATCACATGCACTTTCCCAAGAAAAAAAAAAACCTCTAGCAATACACACCAAATTGAGTACATGCAGAGTGGCTCCACAGGATATGTCTTATCAGGAGATAATTGGGGGGCACTGGAAGAAGGGGAGGATCAGAGAAGTCAAGATCAAACAGCATTTTTACACAATGCACAGGATTAACCACTTAGGTTCCACAGTGAGTATAACAAGCATGTTTTACTGCATATACAGACAGATTTTACTGTTGTGGGTTTAGTAACACTTTAAAGCCTAGTGTCTGTGTCACCTATCATACTTCTAGCACAGACTGTGCAATGTAGGAAAACAGCTGATTGGTTGCTGTGGGCAAGCAACCCGTTTGCCACAAGTCAATGCCACTTAAGGCCGACACCACAGACAGGACTTCACAATAGCGAGACATTGTTTTGTCAGGGTTTCAGCTGTCATTTAAGTAACGGGCTGGTGTTTGTGGACAGGCAAGCTTGGCGGACAGGAGTCATTTGAGAGTATCGAGAGTCACGACAGCTGTGACCGCCTCACTCAGTCATGGAGCAGCCAGTCTTCGTACAATAGCCTGCAGCGTGTCCCATCGTATGACAGCTTTGACTCGGAGGATTACCAGCCTGCACTGCCCAACCACAAACCAAAAGGAACCTTCAAGGACTATGTGAGGGACCGAGCCGAGCTGAATAAAGACAAGCCAGTCATCCCTGCTGCTGCCCTTGCAGGATACACAGGTAGGCTGACAATGTGTGACAGAAGAAGCGGGCCTAATGTAGCATGTATGAGGGGAGGAGATATCAAGATGTCAGGACATATACAGATCTCCAGTGGGTTGTAGTACAGGCAGTGTGTGGGGGTGGGGGGGGGGGCATTTCAAGACATATGGGCCCATAGTGGCAGGTAAATTTGGAAACATACAGGTCTAAACTGGGTGTACTTGAGAAGGTTTGAGGTAAAGGTATTGGAAGACACATAGGTCTGTAGTGGGAATTACTTGTCAACATGGAACAATTGGAGGTATATGGGCTCACAGTGGCAACAATTGGGGGGTGTAATAGGAAAGAAATTTGGAGATATACAGGCCTGTAGTAGGATATAGTAGGGGGGGTACATTTGTAGGTATACATCTCAGTAGTTTGGTGTCGTATGGAGAACACTTGGAGCTATATCGGACAGTAGAGGGGTATAATAGGGGAAGGGTGGATGTTTGAGAGCAAAGGTGGACAGGCCATAGTGAAGGATAGCAGGTGAACATCTGGATGAATATGGGCCTAATGTGGGCAAACATTTGCATGTATATGAGCCCCTGCTAGGGCATGCTGGAAAAGAACATTAAGAGGTATACGAACCTACAGTTGGGTATAGAAGAGGGAACATTAGAGATATACAGGCCCATAGTCGAAAGGGCACATTTGGAATTATACAAGTCGTATGTGGGTTTAGTATGAGCTAAGATTGGAGGTATATGGGCCCATAGTTGGATTAGTAGGGGGGACACATAGGAATATGTGCCTATAGTGGGGTAAAGTCGGGGCCACCTTTGGGGGTATATGGGCCCTTACTGAGGGAGGACATTTGGAGGTATACAGATTCATAGTGGGGTATAGTAGAGGAGACATTTAGATGTACAGGTGAAACTCGAAAAAATTAGAATATTGTGCAAAAGTTCATTTATTTCAGTAATGCAACTTAAAAGGTGAAACTAATATATGAGATAGACTCATTACATGCAAAGCAAGATAGTTCAAGCCGTGATTTGTCATAATTGTGATGATTATGGCTTACAGCTCATGAAAACTCCAAATCCACAATCTCAGAAAATTAGAATATTACATGCATCCAATAAAACAAGGATTGTACATAGAACAATATCAGACCTCTGAAAAGTATAAGCATGCATATGTACTCAGTACTTGGTTTGGGCCCCTTTTGCAGCAATTACTACCTCAATGCGTCGTGGCATGGAAGCTATCAGCCTGTGGCACTGCTGAGGTGTTATGGAAGACCAGGATGCTTCAATAGCGGCCTTCAGCTCTTCTGCATTGTTCGGTCTCATGTCTCTCATCTTTCTCTTGGCAATGCCCCATAGATTCTCTATGGGTTCAGGTCAGGCGAGTTTGCTGGCCAATCAAGCACAGTAATCCCACGGTCATTGAACCAGGTTTTGGTGCTTTTGGCAGTGTGGGCAGGTGCCAAGTCCTGCTGGAAAATGAAGTCAGCATCCCCATAAAGCTGATCTGCGGAAGGAAGCATGAAGTGCTCCAAAACCTCCTGGTAGACGGCTGCGTTGACCCTGGACTTAATGAAGTACAGTGGACCAATACCAGCAGATGACATGGCTCCCCAAATCAACACAGACTGGAAACTTCACAATAGACTTCAAGCATCTTGCAGTGTGTGCCTCTCCATTCTTCCTCCATACTCTGGGTCCTTGGTTTCCAAATGAGATGCAAAAGTTGCTCTCATCAGAAAAGAGGACTTTGGACCACTGAGCAACAGACCAGGTATAATTTTTTTCTTTAGCCCAGGTAAGACGCTTCTGACGTTGTTTGTTGTTCAGAGCAGCTTGACAAGAGGAATACGACATTTGAAGCCCATGTCCAGGATCCGTCTGTGTGTGGTGGCTCTTGATGCACTGACTCCAGCCTCAGTCCACTCCTTGTGAAAGTCCCTAACACTTTTGAATGGCCTTTTCCTGACAATCTTCTCCAGGCTGCGGTCATCCCTGCTGCTTGTGCACCTTTTTCTTCCACACTTTTCCGTTCCACATAACTTTCTATTAATGTGCTTTGATACATCATTTGGGAACATTTAACTTCTTTTGCAATTACCTTTTGAGGCTTTCCCTCCTTATGGAGGGTGTCAATGATGGTTTTCTGCACAACTGTCATGTCAGCAGTCTTTCCCATGATTGTGATTCCTACTGAACCAGACTGAGAGACCATTTAAAGGCTCAGGAACCCTTTGCAGGTGTTATGGCTTAATTAGCTGATTAGAGTGGGACACTTTGAGCCTAGAATATTGCACCTTTTCACAATATTCTAATTTTCTGAGATTGTGGATTTGGGGTTTTCATGAGCTGTAAGCCATAATCATCACAATTATGACAAATCACGGGTTTGAACTATCTTGCTTTGCATGTAATGAGTCTATCTCATATATTAGTTTCACCTTTTAAGTTGCATTACTGAAATAAATGAACTTTTGCACGATATTCTAATTTTTGGAGTTTCACCTGTATAGTGGGGTAAAGTAGGGAAATATTTGTGGGTACATGAGCCCATAGTGGAGTGTAGTAGGTGGGAATATTTGGAGGCATATAGACAAAAATAGGGGAGAGCATTTAGTATTTACTGGGCTGGAAGTGGGGGAGGACAATTTGAGGGATAAGGGTTCATAGATGGGAGTACATTTAGAGGTATAAAATTTGATAATGGAAGAGGACATTTGAAGGTTCATGAGTACATAGAGAGGTATAGAAGAACAGGACTTGAAAGTATATGGGTCCACAGTGTGTGTGTGTGTGTGTGTGTGTGGGGGGGGGGGGGGGGGGGGGCATGTAAAGGCCCATAGTAGAGGAACAATAGGAGAAACTGTTGGGCACAGCTGTGATCCTGTGGCCTCATGGTGACATTTTTACTTTGTCTAATACTTAGAATTTCTCAGATTCTTCATTCAGCCAGCATGGATGATGAAACTAAGGTGGTGGAGACACTTCTCGGTCCACCCACTTAGCACCTTGCAGAATTAGCTCCATTTCTGCAGCATTTTAAATTGGGTCGTGATTTTTCACTTTGATAAGTTGCCCTGAGCAATGTGAGAAGCAGCTAGAGGTTTCTGTCACAGTTCACTTTCACACCTTCTGTGTGACTGAGTTGATATTATCTGAGATGTTCGCTCTATACATGCTACACTATGGTGCACTTACTAACCACCCAGCACAGAGAAGAATTACACAGGGGTCACCATGACACAGCTTTGTACACCAGGTACATATCTATGTGTGCATATCATAGGAGAGTTACAGTATTCACATACATATGAGATGTAACTGCTGGGTATACATTTATTGCAATCTCCGTGATAATTAGGCAAGTGCAACCCTACCAAGATCTTATTACAACCAGTCAGACAACTGATAAGATTATCCAGCAAACATTGCAACTATGCCAAAGTAAAATAAATAAATATATATTATTGCCAAAAGTATTCGGACACCCCTACAAATCATTGGATTCAGGTGTCCCAATCACATCCATGGCCACAGGTGTAGAAAAACAAGCACCTAGGCATGCAAACTGCTTCTACAAACATTTGTGAAAAAATGGGTCACTCTTAGGAGCTCAGTGAGTTCAAGCGTGGTACCGTGATAGGTCACCTGTGCAATGTCCTTGCTACTAAATATCCCACAGTCAACTGGCATTATAACAAAGTAGAAGAAACTGGGAATAACAGCAACTCAGCCACAAAGTGGTGGGCCATGTAACATGACAGAGTGGGGTCAGCGCATGCTGAAGTGCACAGTGCCCAGTCACCAACTGTCTGCAGAATCAATAGCTAAAGACCTCCAAACTTCATGTGACCTTCAGATTAGCACAACAGCAGTGCGTAGAGAGTTTCATAGAATGGGTTTCCATGGCTGAGCAGCTGCATCCAAGCTCTACATCACCAAGTGAAATGCAAAAGCGTTGGATGCAATGGTGTAAAGCACACCACCACTGGACTCTAGAACAGTGTAGACGTGTTCTCTGGAGTGACTAATCACGCTTCTCTGTCTGGCAATCTGATGAACCTGTCTAGGTTTGGCAGTTACCAGGAGAACGGTATGGTGTGGGGTTGTTTTTCAGGGATTGGGCTTGGCCCCCTGGTTCCAGTGATGGGAACTCTTAAGGCGTCAGCATGCCAACACATTTTCAACAATTTCATGCTCCAAACTTTGTGGGAATAGTTTGGGGATGGTCCCTTCCTGTTCCAACATGGCTGCGCACCAGTGCACAAAGCAAGGTCCATAAAGACATGGATGAGCGAGTTTGGGGTGGAGGAACTTTACTGGCCTGCACAGAGTCCTGACCTGAACCTGATAGAAGACCTTTGGGATGAATTAGAGCGGAGACTGCGATCCAGACCTTCTCATCTGACATCAGTGCCTGACCTCACAAATGTTCTTCTGGAAGAATGGTCAAACCTTCCCATAGACACCCTCCTAAACCTTGTGGACAGCCTTCCCAGAAGAATTGAGGCTGTTATAGCTGCAAAGGGCAGGCCAACTCAATATTGAACCCTACGGACCACGACCGGGATGCCATTAAAGCTCATGTGCGTGTAAAGGCAGGCCGACCAATACCTTGACAATACAGTGTGTACACACACACACACACACACACGTATTTGAACACCCTGCGATTTTGCAAGTTCTCCCACTTAGAAATCATGGAGGGTTCTGAAATTCACATTGTAGGTGCATTCCCACTCTGAGAGACAGAATTTAAAAAAAAAATCAGGAAATCACATTGTATGATTTTTAAAGAATTTATATATATATATTATTATACAGTATTATTATACAGTACTTATAAAGCGCCAATAGTTCACTCAGCGCTGTACATTACAAAGGGGGACAGAACATGTGACAGAACAATACCAATACAATGCAAAACATGAGGGGATCGAGGGCCCTGCTCTTTCGAGCTTACAATCTAGAAGGGATGGGATAGTGGTACAGGAGGAGATAGCT